ATGTTTGAAACCGCGTGATTTCTACTTCGTCGTTCTTTGCATTTTACTTCCACACAGAAAATGGATCAAACATAAACCAATCTAATACAGCAAGAGTAAAACAACGGCGCAAAAAATCATTCATGCCCAGTTGAAGTCATCATTAACTTCTGGGTAATAATTACCAAATTACAACGTGATCATAAGATGTTTAGACAGTAGAAGCTTTTTTAGAGCTTATGGTAGAAATGATCTGGAATCCAGGTTAACAGAAAGCAAAAAGTTTTATTTTAGCCAGAAAGATGCTACCTGGTTTTCTGTAAATCTGATTCTTGTCCCCCTCTGAAAGGGTTCGCGCCGCAGTGATGAGGAGGCTCTGGAGGAGCAGGTGAGGAAGTTAGGAGAAGAACTGCAGGAGATCAGAGAGCTGTATGAGGCGGAGCAGCACAAAACACGGAGCAACGAGGAGGAGCTGCTGCAGCTGCACAATCAGGTACCTGAAGCCCGGCTTCACTTTGTCACCCACTGTGGATTTTACCCAGCGGGGCTGTGGGGTAGAAACATAAAACATGTACTGTTGGTTGTATTTGGGAAGGTAAGTCAATCATTTAAATACATTTAAGATTTGTTTTTCTTCCTTCTCATTCATGGGGGTGACATTAGATTTTCATCCGTGAGAGTAGAATTTAAAAGGTTGTGGACAGAAATGAAAAAGTTATATGTTTGCGAATGAAACACTTTGAATAACTGCTTTATCAGGGCAAATCACAAATTTAAAAGTAAGAATCACAGATTTAAAGGTATGAATCACAAATGTAAGAGTACAAGTCTACGGCCCCTGATGAAGCTGTTAACCTCCTCACCAGTTGGTGGCAGTAATGCACCTGAAGATTCTTCGCCAAACGCCATTAAACAAGCAGAAGAAGAAGCCAAACAGTATCTGGGTTTTTTCGCAATTGTTTTTCTTGTTTATTTTTTTCCGTTTAAGTTCCTTTGAAATTGTTAATGATTTGTTTGTATGATAGAATAAAAAAAAATTTTTTTTGAGGTGTAAAATGTCTTAGAAGAGATAAATAATTCCATAATAATTCCATAATTCCAGTGCCATTTTGGTGAAATATTCTCAAGCAGACAGTGAAAATGTTGGCAACGATGAGCAAAATGAAAGGTGTTGGTCATTTTTTATTCAAACATAATAGTTTTTCCACAGTTTTTGGTTTTAATTGGGTCTGAAGTTATGTGTTCAGCCAGTCTTTTGGTTAAACCGGCCAATTTAATTTGGCAGTTTTTTATCCACTCTATATTTGTATTAGGGCTAAACAATACAAATCAGTCACATTGGCCAAAATACTGGTTATGTATAATCGTAACTTAGGACTCGAACCATCAACCTCGGGGATAAAAGTCTTACAGATGGTGCCACCAACATTGATTACTGTTCAACAGACAACAATAATACTTAACACTAAAGTTACAACTGTGCCCAGCGGAGATTTTCATCATTACATTGTTTCATCTAACTAAAACAG